CTGTCCATTCTGTGAGTGAAAGAACTGTTCAAGGCCCGAAGAGCCGAGAACAGTTTTTTCTCTCATAGAATGGACAGTTTTCGGACTTTATCCTACTTAAAATATTTTCTCTATTGTTAACTTAATAAACTGTCCCAGGTGATGGTTGTGTATTTGCTATGATTACGTTACACACATGATTGTCCAGAGAGTAAGGGATGAAAAAAATTACTGTATTGTTTAACTTAATGGACTGTGCCAGGTAATTTCAGATTTAAATGATAGCTCAATGAATTTCTGACTATTCCCATATAAAGCTTTATGGGTGAAGATGTCCTCATCTGATGTAGAATCACATTTCTTCAAAATGTAGGCAAAAGGGAAAAAAATATTCTCAAGAAGGTAGGCACAAGCAGAAGCCTGAAGATATGCAGATTTTGAAGTTAGTGTTCAGGTTTTGACAAAAAAATATCGAAAATCTTTGTGATCAATCAGGATTAAAGGGATACTATACGAAACATTCTTTGAGAACAACAGCGGCGACCACCTTGTATGAAGCTGATATTGAAGAAAAGCTAATAACAGGAAAAAAACGGGCCACAAATCTATTACAGTTTGATCCTACAATTGAACAAACAATGAATAATAGCAGAAAGTAAATGAAATAATTCATGGCAATATGGGGGATTCAAATGGTGGCAAGTGTATGAAAAAGATGAAAATTTGTGATCCTTGTCCGCAAAATGATTCCGCCTGCAGTGCATCTAGTGAGATTATCATTTCATCTGGAAATATGCTTTTCTCTTTTAAAATTTAAATTGCTGTTATATATCTTCCTTGTCCAGCATTCATTTACAAATATTGTGAAGAGGATGAGAAGTCTGTTTATTAATTAAGAAAATTCTGGATGTGAATGTTCTAAAATTAATATGCATCAGGATATAACATATGTGTCTTTTTTGCTTTGGATTTGTCATTTCTAAAGATGATATACTGTTGAACTTTTCATACATATGTTTGATATTTATGCATAACATTTAAAACCTGTACATTAAGTTACCTGTAACTGTATATTAAGTTGACCAAAAAAAAAAACTGTTACAGTAGATTAAGTTAAGAATTGAGAGTTTTGTCAACTTAATGTACGGTTACAGGTGACTTAATGCACGGGTTTTAGATCTCCAGATCTATTGTGCTATGTAATGTACCAAAAACACAAAGGATTACACAACAAAAATGTTTTAATCTTATTTAATGCTTTCAAACTACTATTTATTTATCTATGTTTTGGCATTTACATGTGCACTAAATTTTAAAAATATTTATTGTTTTTTTTTTCTTCTTCTTCATTTTAATGTTAAATAAAAACGATTTTTTTTTGCTAAGTCTTTAGGCACCATAAATTGAATTATGCGACACCACTGTCATTCAAAGTCTAGCTTATCTGTATCCATTAACAATGACAAGTTTATATGTGATATTTATTTACTATTTACTGTATACAGAATGAAACATATGGAGATTAGGAACAGTAATTCAGATCAGAAGTCTCTAAAACAATACAAAATGGACTTTTGCGAGGAGCGCTGATTTTTTCAGTTACACTATGACAATGTGTAGGAGCTCTTTCACGATATTACTATTTAGTTTAACATTTATTTCAACGAAATTAACGGGTTATATCAAAGTACAAATAAGTCGCCCTTGAGGAAAATGACAACCACACTACCCTCAGCTCCTGGCTTTCACATGTTAGTACCGCTAACACCATACCTATGATCATTAGAAAGGTTTTCTTATCTATTATCAATTCTGTACCTCCATACATGATACAGGTTTAAATGTCCAAGTAAACCTTCAATTGCAAAAGTCAGTGCTTCTCGCAAAAGTCCAATAGGAGCAAAGCAGATACGGACCTCCAAACGTATTAAACGTAACCATATATTGACACTTGATTTGACATTATTAAAATGGAGCAAGATAAACAAGTACCCATTGTACATATTATGTTTGTGTTCCACACCTTAGTAACTAGCATCTTGTAATAATTCGCAATTTTTTTTGACAATTTTCTCAAATGTACGAGGGCTGTTCAATAAATAATGTCCTCTGTGCTAAGTAAGAAGCAAAGGACGCTTTTCAATGATTTAATCTTAATAATTAACGTAATATTCTCTTTCAATTAAAACCCATGTTGATAATTTTTTTATCCAACTTCTGATTGTTTTTAGAACTCATTTTTTGGTACCCTGGTATACTGGAAAATGGCACATCTTATGATTTCCTGGAGTAGTTTCTTTGTTTTGAAAGATGCTTTTTTTTTCAAGTTTGGAAAATGAAACAAGTCAAAAGGCGAAAGACCTGGCGAATATTGTTAGTGTGAAAAAAATCACTTTCTGTTTATCCCCAAAACTCCTTTACTCTTCATGGTGTACGGGTTTGGACGCTGTCATAAAGAATTAATTTATTTGCAAAAATTTGCTTTCTAGGCTCTTCCAAAAATTAAACTGTCTCCCCGAATACGAATTTTAACAACAAGACCACTAATATTTAAGAAAATTGCATATAAAACTGTCTTTGTGCTCTTGCAATTCTTTCCTCTTCTTAGACCTTTGCTGTTTTTGTCAAATACACCTGATTGTAAATTTTGTTTCGAAAGTATTAAGCAATAGATTCGAGTTTCATTATCTGTTTGAATTTGAAACAAACTTGAATTACTACAATTTTTCACTTTTTAAAATAATTTTTTGATATTTTTACATGCTGTCGTTTTCACTCATTTTTCAAAACATAGGGTGACCTTTGAGTATTAAGCTTTTTTTAAAACTGTCAAACGTTTCTTTCAAACAGTGTGAACTACTCCCGAAATGATGTCTATCAAATTTGCTATGTGTCTTAAAGTCCATCATATATCCTCAGTGAATCTGCAAACAGTAAATGAGTTGTTATAATTTTTGTTGGCAAGGACGGTACCCATTTTTGATGCCCGTTATATTTTTTTATCATTTAAAGTCACCTGCTAATTTGTCTATAATACAGACATTGGTTGCCGTATATGTTACATATTTCAGTAAATATTTCTTTGGAATTCTTGAGGAGTTTTACAGCAGCTTGAATGAGGCGTTTAATTTCGCTCTAATTTACCTCTTCTTTACCATTCATTTTACATGCAGTGTCTCGAATAGCCCTTGTTTTCCAGCTTCTCACAATGAAACTATGTGATGAAAAGTGGTCACAGAAATTGTTATAAATTCATAAAAGATTCAATAATGCGAAAAAGTCAAGCTTAATGTCAAATGATATCTATGTTGTATATCATACAGTTCAGGACATTATTTATTGAACAACCCTCGTATCCTTATATTACTATGTATTTAGATGTATTAGATTTCTGACGTGATATTTGAAGAACTAACAGAAATATACCGATTCCCGTGAAAACGACTGTGAAAATGACGTCACGCACTTTTGTTAATTTATGTATAATGCTCGAGATATCGCCAACATAGATCCAAAATATGCACAATAAAACGTGTAGTAAACTAGGATATTCGTGTCATTCGTGACATTCGTCTACAAATAGCAAATTGGTATTTTAGACCGTGAGACCTCTGTTAAAAGGCTATACGGGAGGACGGGAAGAAGATTATCGAAGAGAACTTTATATATTGTCCGGACTGTAAAGAAAGTGATTGAGAGTCACTAATGTCACACTATATCTCATAAATACCTGCAGTCTTTGGTTTTAAAACAAAAAAAGAAGATGCTTTACTTGTTTAATAGATTTTAAGCTTGACAAGAAATGGTGTTTGGATGTTGAGTAGATAAGGTAACTTAAACTGTACAGGAACTCGTGGGAAAGTTTTGAGAAAATGAAAGCTCAATAACATATTTTATTATAGTGCCTGTGACGTCGAAGATTTTGCTGCTCCGTGACTTAATGATATGTCCTGACAAATTACCCAAAATTGATGCCAATTTACAACATTTTGATATGAAATTTTGAAGACCATATAAGTAAATATTCTTTTATATTATGTGTGACATTTTGCCCGATTATGTCGTCAAATATTTTTTGTGTGCAACAAGTCCGCGTAATTTTTGAACGGCCGTCGTACAATAAAATGCATTGACCAAAAATATTTTTTTTTAAGATTTTAAATTATTCAGAATTTCTTTTTTCCAGAGAATGTTATTAAATACTTATAATTATCCCTTTTGCACAATATTTCATATACCGGGGTATATACTTCTGAACGCATCTTATTAATGTAGGATAGCTTGTACTATGCGAATGTGAAAAAGGAATTGCACTCATAGCAGAAGAAGTTGCGTCTATAGTCCTATGAACGCAATTGTAGACTGGCCGGCGCAGGTTCACACTGTGAGAAAGCAGATAGAATGCAAATATACATTGTTATGGACTGTTTGCGCTTGTATAGATCAGATAAAAATAGACTATATAATAATGTTTATAATCAATATAGTATTACTAACAACAACCCAATGATAGGCCATATTTGCTTAAAAGGTGAATGAAATAATAACGAGTTTATGAACGTATACTGCCGACTTAAAACGTAATTAGTGGAATCTCTGTCAACCCACTTATCTTTCACGATCCTGCTTTGCTTAGTAAATCGATCGTATGCAGGCAAGATATTAAGCGTCGAATGGGATGGGAGATCTTAACACCATATGCATTCGATAGCGGGATTTTTTAATCAAAGTATTTGAAATATATTTATGAGACTCTGGGTATCCCTTATTACCGGTTTACTTGGATTAAAATCGAGAAAATATAGGCAAGAATTTAGCAAATGTTCAATACTTTGTCGACATATTAAAATGTCTAGCCAGCGTTTTCGTCTTCTTGCATATATATTTTTGTTAAGAAGTCTTATTCATCTAAATACAGAAAATACAAGTAGGTCTGAAAATTAGAATTACAGGGCGCAATGATAAAATAAATTACACTGCAATTCTTCGATACAGAATAAACTCATGTAATATATATTCTTTATTCGTGCATATGATATTTTTCAAATTTATTCTATGAGACTGCAAGTTGTTTGGGTAATCGTACGCAGACCCTTCAGGCTTGTATCAGGTGTATTTTATGTCCAGAGGAATATTAGCTGCCTTCACGGCTGAATCTATGACCTCACTCTGAGCAACCTTTAACCAATTCTTCCAATCCCCCACTTCACCTGCATTAAATTAAAATCTTTAAATCTTTTTAAAGTCGCTTTGGTTACTAGATGAACTTAAAGGGACAGACACAGTTTTAGCTAAAAATTTCAAATTTAATTTTCCTTTTTTTATGTTTACAAATATTTAAGTAAGTTATTTCTAACGATCATCAAATTTTAAAATTTCAGTTGCCGAGATACAAGACAGATTTAGGACTCCTAATTTTTTTTAATGTAAACATGACATGTTTTCGTTTACAAATTTTAAATGTAAATTTACTAATATATGTTTGATCAAAGCAGATTTTTTAATAAAAAGTTAATTCTAAATACGATTAGACAGTTTCTTGTGATTTGCTGAATCTTCTTTTGTTATAAATACAGTATGTAATCAAAAACAAGACACGAGACTTGTTTACATTATGAAGAATTTTGAGATTTGTATCTCCTTTGTAAATCAACAATTGATGTTAAAATTTTCATTGATCATTAGAATTTCCTGAGCAAGGATTTGTAAATATTATAATGGTTTTTAGAAATAAATTAGTTGAAACTGTGGCTATATCCCTTTAAACAACCCGAGAATTTCAATAAGGGCAAACATATCCATTAAGAACATTTATTTCAAATTTGAACATACATGATGTGAAGAATTTGAGCTTACTATGTGCATAAGTATTGTTACAAACGCGAAGAATTGCATCAGATTTCAGGCTGCCCTTTCTCTAACAAAAAATCTTTTAATGGAACCTTGAACTGGGTATCAATAAAAATAGGAGATTTCATGCATCTATATCAAAAACAAGCGAAGGGCATATCATAATTACTGAGTAACTTTTAAAGTGAAAGATGCGGAGATAACGAACAATATTCAAGCTCAAAATTCCTTTAACAAAATTACAAATACAAAAAAGAGGCCCAGGGGCCACATCGCTCACCTGAGCACATCTGCTAATAAAGAGCACAAATCAGATTAGAATTGAAGAGTTTACGGGGGGGGGGGGGCTTGAATTTTTATACTACTTGAGAATGCCTCCATATCAATACAGCATATAACTTTGATGTTCTTGAGAAAAGGTTTTTAAAGATTTTCTTTTACATTTTGTTTGTATATATTACTTGGCTATAATTTGAATTTGATTCCCCGTTGTTTTCCTCCCTACCCCAAAGGGTGTCTTGATTTGAACAAATTTGAATCTTCAATACATGATGATGCTTACATGTCAATATGACTAAACATAACTTTTCTGTTCTTGGGATTTTTCCCTTTATTTTCCTATTGTAAAACTTTATTCCACCACTGAGACCCTCCCAATCCTTGGGGGTTATGATTTGAACAAATTTAATCCTACACTACCTGAGGATGCTTCTATATGAATATCACTAATCATTGGTTTGCTATTTTTGAGAACATTTTTAAAAAATATCTTTTAATGTAAAACTTGGATTCCCCTTTGTGGCCCCACCCTACCCCTGGGGGTTATAATTTGAACAAACTAAAATCTACACTACCTGAGGATGCTTCCATATAAATATCACTAATCATGGCTTTGCAGTACTTGAGAAGAAGATTATAAAAGATTTCCTTGCATATTCCTATGTAAAACTTTGATTGGTCATTGTGGTCTCATCCTACACCCAGAGGTCTTGATTTAAATAGACTTTAATCTAAACTATCTAAGTATGATTTCACGTGAGTTTCATCTTTCCTGTCTCAATGGTTCTTGAGAAGAAGATTTTTAAAGATTTTCCCTATATGTTCCGATGTAAAACTTTGATCTGCCATTGTGGCCCCACCCTACACCATGGAGTCATGATTTGAACAAATTTAAATCTACACTAGCTGAGGATCCTTCAATATTAGTTTCATCTTTCTTCTGTCAATGGTTCTTGAGAAGAAGATTTTAAAGATTTTTCCTATATGTTCTTTTGTAAAAATTTGATCGGCTATTGTGGCCCCATCCTACCTCCGGGGGTCATGATTTGAACAAACTTGAATCTACACTACCTGTAGATGATTTCACATGAATTTCATCCTTCCTGTTTCAATTGTTCCTGAGAAGAAGATTTTTAAAGATTTTCCCTATATATTCCTATGTAAAACTTGTATCGGCCATTGTGGCCCCACCCTACCCCTGGGGGTCATGATTTGAACAAACTTGAATCTACGCTACCAGATGATGATTTCACATGAGTTTCATTTTTCCTGGCCCAGTGGTTCTTGAGAAAAAGATTTTTTAAAATTGCAATAATTTTTTCACAAATTCATAATTTCCCCTTGGAAAATGGCATGGTACTTCATTTGAACAAACTTGAATCTCCTTCACCTAAGGATACTTTGTGGCAAGTTTGGTTGAAATTGGCCCAGTGGTTCTTGAGAAGAAGATGAAAATGTAAAAAAGTTTACAACGACAATGATAACGACGACGAAGACAACGACGACAGACGACGGACAAATTTTGATCAGAAAAGCTCACTGGAGCCTTCTGCTCAGCTAAAAAGCAGAGCAAACAAGAACCTCTAAAACATATGCGGTTGGATCAGGCATTAATTTCAACATAAGTTAATTTTCCTTTAAGCACAATATATATTAAAATGTTATTTCCCTTCTTGCATTTTGCCCAGAAGTGGTATACATGTATACAAGACTACCCAAAATTTAATATAATTTTCCTTTTTTAATAAACGTTTGTCAAATTTTTTAGTTTTAATAAAAAAAGTTAATTTAAGAGTATCTTATTTTCATCAATCACTTTAAATGGAAATGGGATCATTTGATTAACTAATTATTTTGATGCAAGCACAACAAACTTGTCATCGTCAGTTCATTAAACATTTAAACCACTAGCTGTGCATCAATATTGATGGCACATAGATTAAATCGCATCATTTAAGACAATTTCTGAAAATAAAAATAAAAAGGAATTAAAGATTCAGTATATATATATATATATATATATATATATATATATATATATATATATATATATATATATATATATATATATATCCTAACTGATACGAGTACTTGAGCTTGGTATTTGTTCGTTATCTTTATATTTTTATCTTAAACATAATACTAAATCCATGTAGAAAATACAGAACACTGAATACACGTTTGAACTATTACATTTAAGTAAACACGCATATTCCCATTATCTAGTTATACTGTATCTTAATTTAAAACTAATCAAATAGTGTCTTTATTGATAAAATCGATAATCATTTTTACAATGATCGGATATTACGGAAACCATAGCCAGGGTAAATTTGTCAAAACTATGAAACATAACGCAATCAAATCAACTTCTTTAAGGTTAGAAAAAATCAATACTATTCTATAGACATTATGAGTTCAAATATTTTAGCTGATTAAATTTTAGTAATAAAAATATGAAAGAGAAATACCTTTCCTATACATGATATGTTTATCCTTCACATCGGTCAATCTGCTCATAAATTCGGGGACATGGCTGTTCTTAAATTCAGACATTGTCTTGAACTCGCATTTTGTAGCAATTTCGCCAATAAGTTCTTCACTGGATTGAAGTTCAAGAAATTTGGATATTTTTCTGACATGGCCTTTCAGGTCCTACGTATAAACATTATGTATATAAAAAAAATTGAATTGAGGTATTTAAAGGTGCAAAATTGATTTAAATCAAAGATATTGAATATGTATACCTTCTTCATGTCCTCGTAACATATGTTCAGGAATGGGTAGGACGGGTTTTTGTCGGTAAAATCTGTCCATTCTTTTACAAAGTTTACCCAAGAGCCCCCGGCAGACGGCACTGTCAAAACAATTATATATATATATATATATGTATAGTTGTATATTATTATATAAGCTTGTATATTATTTTAATTAAACAACTATACTTATAATAATGAATCATACATTGCCCTGTCATAAACAAATCGAAGAACACATCAAATTCCACGTCCTTCAGCAATTCTCCCATTTTTGTTTTTTTTAAGAAATTAAACATTGAAACAATGACATCTTTGGGATTCCTGTAGATATTGATGATTTTACATCGTCGTTGTAGGAAATCCTTTGGCATGTGACGTGGTAAAAAGTGTGACACGTATACACCATCGGGCACCTGCTGAAGTTTTTCGACTGGAAACAACTCAAGCAAAGGAGGAACAACAGTTTGAAAGTCAGAGGTATTGTTTCTCAGCATAGCCACTATCTCATAACACCAGTGCGTCCCTGTGTAAATTAGAACAATCACCTTACATAAAAAGAACTTTACACCTGATTTTTAAATGTTAATATTTTAAATTGTGATGTTGCAACTGGGTTTTTTCAGTTGATGGTTTTGGTTTTAACATTTAATTTCTAGTTAACAATTGATAATGAAAGTGTAACTTTTCATAATAATTGTATTGTAATAAGAAAACACATTTGATTTTAGATTTTATCAATTCAAATAATTATAAAATGAATGGTACAAAATATAAAATCTCGTTTATGAAGCATACATAAAGTATGATTAATGAATGTTTATGATACATGTATATAATTTACCAATAAAGTAAAATGTTTGATTAATGGTGAAGTCGAAAAATATTATTTCGAGGTAAAACGATGTAAATTAATGATAATTAATTTGATGAAAAAAGAATATCGGCGGTCAAGTTTAAAATCATCATTTCAATGACCGTGTAGTTCTATGGTCGATACAATGACATTTTTTGAGGAAATACGCGCTGTTCCTGCAAGTACAATTATCATTGAGTCAAATGATAAATGACGTTTTTCATACTAATTGTTTGACTTAGGGCATTTTTTTTAAACACTTTATAAATAATAATTAATTTCATTGCAACAGAGTTTCCGTTATTTTATGTTCATGACAATGACCGTGTAGCACCGTGATCGAAAGCAGGTTTTTTGACTTGCCTAGGAGATGCTCACTACTCCATGGCACCTAATCCCACCTCTGATGTTTTGGAGGTCTCTCTCTCTCTCTCTCTCTCTCTCTCAATATATATATATATATATATATATATATATATATATATATATATATATGTTTAAGGACTTTTGAGCTCGAAAATTGTTCGTTAACTCTATATATTTTAATTTTGGAGGAGGAGAAAACAACTTTTTACTTGACATTATTCTTTTCAGATTTTTATATGCCTGATTCTCTTTCTCTCTCAAAAAAAAATATATATACATATATATATATATATATATATATATATATATATATATATATATATATATATATATATATATATATATATATATATATATATATATATATATATGTCAATCTAATGTTAATAATCACTTACCAGATTTTGGAAATGATATAACACATACATCATTATCTCTAAATGACATGCTGTTCAGTTGCCGAAATTTCTCCTCCAAATTACCGGCAAATTCGATTGGAAATAGTATTCCATCGTATTCCACTGCTCGCAGCACCACTTTTCCACTTGGATCTTTGATTTCTTTCTGATTCATACTGAAAGAAAAAAGGCAAATTCTTTTTTTTTTTTAACTCGTTATGTTTTTATGCCCTCACCAATGCTCAGGGATAAAAAAAAAAACAACTCGTTGGATAAAAATTATTTCCGAAAGTTTACCATATGCATGGAAGATCCTTTTTATATCTGCCATACATCTTTTACATGTAATATACATGATTTAAAAACGGTATGGACAAGAAACTAATTTATACTAATCGTATCTTTATAGTCACAAAATTACAGTAAATTTTCATAATTCAATTCACGTTTAAAAATTTAAGAAAAAAATCAGATAAAGGAAAGACACCTTTAGTAAGGTCGTCATGACAAAATTCTGTCATCTAAAACATGAGTAAAATTGTGTATTGATTAACAAATGAATGTGCATGAACGTGAATTGCACATAATCAATTGTACATAAATACTGGTACTTTGATTTTAGACCTTTTTTATTATTAGGTAACCGGAGTCACTCAGGTGACCTGTTGCGTACTGTGTTTGTCCGTCGTCGTCCGTCGTGCATTTGAACATCTTTACCTTCTTCTCTGAAACCGCTCAACCAATTTCAAACTATTTTAGCAGATGACATTTATGAGTGAACGGGGACAAAAAATTTTAATTTCATGGTCCCTTCCCCCCTATGGCCTAAGGGACGGGACCAAAACTACTAAAATTAACACCATCTTTAAGAATCTTCTCCTGGAAATCAAGCAGTCGAACTGTTCTATGTTTGTAATAAGCATGGAGTCCTCTACCAAAATTGTGAAATTCCTAGCCCAGGGTCAGGGGCTCTGGTTCTAGAGTAGGGATTTTTTAATATATAGTAAAAATGTTTTTTTTTTAAATCTTCTCCTCTGCTTCTTGGTACATGTATTAAGTCGATAAATTATGTACATAGTTACATGTATGGTGAGGAAGGTTGTAAATTGTGAATTCCACGGCCCCTGGATCAGGGGTTCCAGTGTTAGGGCGGTGCTCTAATAATTACATAATAAAAATGCATCATTATTTTTTTTGCTTGTCAACTTTTTCAGGTATGTAAAAAAAATTCTCTGGCTGCCCCCTTTCAAAAACGATGTTACGTAACTGATTTCAATGATCAAAAATATATTCAACAGGATCAGTTTTCAACGAATCAAGGTTAGAGATCGAAATAGCACTGAAAGATGATTCCGCGCAAAAATTAACGTCTTTTTTTCTCAACGTAGAATAAAAAAAACGAAAAAAATTAATCACGTGCCAACTTCCCGTGATGTACTACGTTATATCGGTCAAGGTTAATAAAGGTATATAAATTTCCCCCTTGACAGTTATCTTTCGAAAAATGACAATCTGTATCAAGTGATAATTTTTAGATTTTACTCACGTCATATATATCGATATTTCCTATTATTCTATGTGTTATCTCGGCTCAATAACAACGTAAATAGACTATATGGAAAAAATGTGTCAAAGTGAAATAAAATGGTGAGCTGCTTGGGTTGTAATTCTCACCAATACACAGCTTGATACAGTTATTATCGTTTTACTTTACTATCAGGGTGACAGTTTCCTTGATAGGACGTGCTAAAATTTTGTATGCAGGTTATCATTTTACTTATCAATTGAATATTTGATTGCAATGGAATCAAAAATATTTCGAATATGAAACGAAGACCCAAGCAATACCACGGACAATACTGACCAATCCTTTTGAACGATTGTTCACCAGTGTGCAGTAAACAGCAATTACATGTGGATGGATAAAGCAAGATTTACTTCCTATAATGATGATATTGATAGCTACATACATGTAGTGTGGACTTACTAATTCCATTCTTTAAATTTAAAGTATTCAAAACCCCATTGGGTCAAATCACAACAAATATAATGCATGCTTTTTAAGGACAGAAAACGGGCTTTGACTGATCAAGTGTTGCTGCCACAGGCACTTGTTTAGTATACGGGTACCCCTTACCTATATTTATCACAATATAAGTAGGGGGTACCCCGTATACGAAACAAATGCCGTACGTGTAAAAAAAATCATTCAATGTGATTGGCCAGTCATATCAGGGTTTTGTTGTATTCTGGGTTTTATCTGCAAATTAGTATTGATTTCAAACATCCATTCGATGAGTAAAATGAAAATAAGCACGCAAAATTTTAGCACGCCCCATCAAGCAAACTGTCACACTGCTAGTAAAATGACAATATAAATCACACCTGAAATGTTAGTCAGGTCTCGTTAGTTTTCACAATGTACATTACATTTCGTTACATGACTTATTCCTGTGTCACTGAAGATAATTCAAATTCCTTCATGATAAAAAATCCATAAATCCATAGGTTTAAATAATTATAATATACTTTGAGAATAGAAATGCCGATAACTCAAATATTCATTCAAGACGACTTTTGAAGGGAACTTACTTACCTTGCTGTATTTGTATCCATTAAAGACTGTCCTATATTGTATACTACTGCGACGCTTTTAACGTTGGTCGTTCTATTTAGTCACCTTTGCAAATAGCAAACGACCGTGCTTTGTGGCTTTACTGGATTATTTTAGAAATCATTGTCTAGTTTGTTGGGTATGCCAGGGCATCAACGATAGTTGGAAACGTAGGATAATTTGCATAACTGGCAGAGTTCACGATTCCTTATATTTCCATTTTATTTTGAAATGAAATTGTAAATTCAGATTTGAAATATGTTGTCTAATAGATTTAACTTACACAAGCGCCCCCCTCCCCAGCAAATTTAATAGCCCTATCCCACTAACGTCAGACACGCAAAAGCCACACGAGAGTTAAATGCAACTCAACTACCGTTAAAGGGTATATTCAAAGAGAAAACAAATAGAATTGAAAATATATTTATTTCATAAGTACCCGAGCATGCTTGAAAATGATATGTTATTACTTAAAGTCTTAAACTACACAGCGAATACTTGCATCTTTTATTTTCTTTAAATGAGGAGGGGTGTGTTTTTTAATAAAAATTGTATCATCGTCGCAGGTTATTTTATATAAACAAATATAAAGAATGCATTTCTTTATTGTAAAAATATTACGTCACTCAAGTGAAATAATACGCTGTATTTTGTTGTTTTTTTTTGCTTTTTTTTAAAACAACATACATTTCAAGTCGATTCAAACTTATGTGTCGCATTACAGAGAGGTATTACACGTATAATAATTTATTCTCTCTGATCAGATTTTTTTTATCCATAAAGCGACATCACCGTATGCATGCAAAGACCTTCCTTTAGAACATTAACTGCAATTTTGCAAAATTGTATATCAACGCCCACTTTGACACTGGATCAAAGTTTCTATTGACTTTTATTTCTAAGTTGTTGATATCAAAATATGAAGGAACTCCAAAACAAATGACAAAAGACAAGTACACTTACGCAGTTATAAGTTTTTTTAAAACATAAGGAACGTTAACGATGAAAACGCTAAAGCCATTTTGATTTGTTTGTCGTACAATTTTGCTTGTCCATAAGGCTGTTTAAGATTAATTCTATGTTTAACGTCACCCGCGCGCGTAGGTTTTGGAGAAAATCTTTGAAAAAAACAAACAATACATTTCCGTTCCGGTTTGGTTCTACATTTAGCGTCACGATTTTTGCATCCGTAGTATCAGAAAATGTGCTTTGATACCTCAGTAGATCAGTATGGGATCATAAATGTAAGTAAAACTAAAAGCTCGTTGCAAAGCAACGAGAAGGTCTTCCGTCCTGATTTGACCGGAAGTTCTAGCAAAAAGAAAGCATTTGATTGTCTCCAGTCATTTAATTTCAATTTTGCATCAAAACCTTAAATAATAAGCTATTTTTGGCTACTTCCGACCGGAAGTGATGTCGTTTTAAGTTTTATGCTTCCTGTGATATATGTTACCCAAAAACTTGTGTAGCGCATTTTTGACTACTTGAGCGGACCGGAAGTGACGTCGCTGGACGCATTTTGACGACTTCATTAGAATTTTGACATTTTTAACAACATTGCTTCTTGGATGTATGACAAATTCTCAATGCATTTTTAGATATTCTTCAAAATACTTTTGGCCCCTCTAGATCCCCTAATTTAGGGGTGTGTTTTTTGATATCGTTTATCTTCTGCACAAATTTTGTTCTATATGTTATAAAAAGCAAAATATGTGTAAATTTTTCTTTTAGGCGTCCTAAAATATAGCACCATTTTGAATAGAGAAATCAAAAATCAAAAACCACTATGCACAACTCCAATCCTTCTATTATCTAAAATCAGTTGAAATTTTGCTTTGCTTTAGTTCTCTGAGCCTTTGTCTGGAAACGTTTTTTCGTCCAAAGGGAAATAACTCAAAACCGGAAGTGACTTTTTGAAATTTTAGATGGCATTTCTAATAGAGTTTAGTAAACGTCTATCAACTCTGAAAATTTGACAAAATCCATCGAGAAATGAGTGAAATATGAGGCCTCAAAGTTGGCACATAATAAGAATAATTTAATCTCTCTAGATCTTCCGAAACGATTTTTGTTTTTATGATTGAAGTTAATGACAAAGTCTAGTTTGTTGATTTTTTTTTGTCAGCGACATATGTACCATGTGTGCAGACTGTGACAATGACAGACTCAGTTCGTGATTATTTTGGCTGAACTTTTCATCGTATTTTGGAGAGAATCATTTTAACTGAGTGCAATTGTTAAAAAAGATTATATACAGTGAGATGCATCATTTGAATTTTATCAAATACTTTATTAAATATTTGTAAAAATTTAAAGGAACAGTAATGAGTAAGATTGATTTCTTCATAATTCAAGTACGCCAAGTATAAATACCTACATGTTGGAAAGATAATACTAGTCTTTGCCATTTAAGCAGGGAGAAGCTTACAGAAGATAAGCCTTTCAAGTGAAGGAGAGTAAGGAAAGTGGTTGGGTATTTTAAGAAGTGAGGAACCATGTCCTGTGTGTGGAATTGAAGGTATTTAGAATAAACTACATGTAATACACTTTCAAATCTAAATTCTAATAGATCTAGTACTGTGAGAAAAAAATACAACATAATTCAATTTCAAGATATTTCAATATAAGAATGTATTAAATATTGTCATCATAATCTTTATTGTAGATATTGATCAACTATTCCCACAAGAAGAAGCATTTCCTTACAGGGTACCATGGATGTGAGGCAATATAAATCCAAAGGACAAGCAACTTTCCTGCACATTCAGTCTACATTGTTTGCTCACAACAGGACTCAAACCAGGTAACATTCTAAGGAAAAACTCTGCTAGGGAAATTAAACTTTGTCACATCCAATACTCTTATTACTCAATTCTAGTTAATGTACTGAAATGGTTTATTTGAATAAATTCACAATTGTTTGAAATTTTTGTTTGTTTATTTTTTTCTCCCTCCCTCGTAGGTTTTGAATTTTAGATGTGACGTTAAACGTAGAATTAACTTGGAACAGCCTAATCAGTATACCATTCAAATAAGAAACAGATGTAGCAGACTCAGTGGTGTCTTTTATGTAATGTTAACTGGAATTAATCCATAAAATGTCATCGACATATCTGAATATCGAGTTGAAGGTCATGGAAAGAGTTTTAGTCTTCTCATGTGAATGTTTTTCCTTCAATTAATTATGCTTTATCGGAACATAGAAATAGATCGAATTTTAAAGTTAGGTTTGATAAAATTTAAACCTTCCAATCATTATTAACAGTACTTTTTGTTTGGTTATTTGGCTCTTTAGGATTCTAGTTGAAATCAAAGGATTTAAGGAAGTTCCCTGAAAAAAAGGACTGTTCGCCAGTTTTCCATTATAAATTTGCCGAAATTAACATTAATGATATTTGAAACATTTGAATGTTTTTGGTAAATGTATGTAAGTAATAACTAGCTTATTCTCACCAAATATCAAGCAGAATGCACTATTAATACTATACTTATCTTAGACGTGACACCACGCCTTGCTTCTATTTCCGTATAAAAGGTCTTTCTATTTATGCATCTAAATGTTAACAGTTTGTTCTTTTAATTCAGTTCTACATTAAAGTCTTGGTCCTTTATAATTGGATCGGTAAGCAGTTTTTATGAGGAGGACTTTATAAGTTCATCTTAATGACTATTTTACGTTTTCGTAAAGAGAAAAGGTTTGCTCAAATCAACGAAAGCGTAGGTCCTTTACTAAGTAAAAATACCATAAAGTAATTTAATGGTATTTGAAGCTTGATTTATATGCGGTATCTTTTTAATTTGTTAACAGAAAGAAATCAGGAGATGGGGAATATATACGAAAGTCACGATAAAATTGCACTCAATATCTATTTCAAAAACATTAAATCAAGCTCCTTTTTGGATTGACTATTTTGTCCTACTATCCTTAAAGAGTTTAAAATAAAAAAAAAGACACCATTTTTAAAAGTTACGGTTTAGTGGTATAGTTGTAAGTGCTATGAAATGGCGAAATTTTTTATAACTCCATACACATGTCATAATCCTGTGCTTGAAGAGAGAGTTTACTACATAAAATGCATTGAAAATAAGATTTTAGAAAAATTAAATGATATTCATGTTTACTCCTTCTACGTATAACACGATTTTTAATTCAAGATAAAATCCACATAAACATAATATACGTTTTTGAAAATTGACAAGTAATCAAAACAATTAAAGGGGCATGGACACAGTTTCAGCTGAAATTTCAAAATTCATTTTTCCATTTTTACAAATATTTAACTAGGGTCTTTCTAATGATATCAAAATTTGAACGCCAGTTTTCCAAATACAAGACAGATTTAGAGCTTCAAACTTTTGTTATGTTAACAATGCAATTGTCATGTTTTTGTTTACATAGGTTATTTTACAAATAAATGTTCGTAGATAATTTCAAATAAAAGTTAATTTTAAATACGATTCGACAGTTACTATTGATTTGCTGAACTTCTTTTGTTATATATGATATTTTCTATGTGTAAATTAAAACAAGGGACGAGCCTTGTTTACATTATGAAGAACTTTAAGTTCTGTATCGTGTTTGTTAATCAACAAATGATGTTCAAATTCTTGCTAATCAATAGATGATGCGTTAGGTAGGAACTGTAAACATTAAAATTGGTTTTTAAAAAATCAGTTAAAGGCCCCTTTAAGATATTAAGTAAAAATAATACATACTTGTTCATGTGTTATGGAAGTATATAACAACTTGCTGAAAAATTCAGACAGTAAAACAGGTCGAAAAATATGCAAAATTTCGATCAAAATATTTGGAAAACTTTTGCACAAGAAGGTTAATTCAATCTTTATCACATTTTTCCCAATTAGAATTTTTTTGATCTATGAAGAGAACAAACAGTTATCAAAATCAAAAGACCACTGACACATGTTGTAGAATTGTATCTATTGCCTTTAAGTAATTATAATTTGTTTATTTCTCAAAATTAAATGTAGATTTGAATAGCACGTGTTACCATTTCCTCT